TCCTAAAAGCCTTCAAACCACATTTTTCCCCCACAGGATGACTTTTTGGAAGAGTACTTTGTAAACAAGTGAAGGGCTGTGCACAGATGTGGGGAAATGCCATCTCGAGGATGACTGCGCTGACCCAGGCCAGCAGGGTCAAAGCATCATTCATGACGAAAGTTGCTACCCTAAGCACCTACCCTGTGCCAGGCCCCGTGTTAAGGGATCGTTGAACCTCCATGGCAATGCTGTGATTTCCAGAAAGGGCTGTGATTGCTTGGACAGATGAGAAAGCTGAGGCACCAAGAAGTCTGAATCCCATGGGGAGGAGGTGACAAGGCCAAGTTCTGGTCTGCAGCTCCAGCCTTGCAAATCAGTACCTGGGAGAGGAACGCCTGAAGCCTGACGTCAGGCCTGCTCTCCACATGTGCCCCCCAGAAGGAAGCTAATGCCACCTTCCGTCAAGGGCTGGCAGGGGACTTTGAGACCTTGCCATGTACAACAGCACTCAAAATTGAAAATATTTTTTAAAAAATTTTTATACTGTGGAATGCTTTCTTTGCAAACTATGTCATGTGTAAATCCCAACCAGAAAACCAGAGTTGGGGCCTGTGGGTCGAAGGTGGAAGCAGGGTTGGCCTGGGCCCCCAAGACTCCCAGAGCACCACCCAAAGGCCACTTACCTAGTGGGTTGGCCCACTTACTGTGATGCCACGATGCTTAAGGCTCTGGCTTTGGGTTTAAAAGAATTTAGTGGAACTGTGGCTGACTCATTCCTGGGTTAGTCGGTCTGGGCGAGGGCAGCAGGATTCCAGGCTTGCCAAATGCTTTAGGTGCTAGTCTATCTGGCCTGGGCACTTGCCTCACTCTTCCCCTCTGGCCAGCAGCCATGACCTGTCACTCACAAGGGTAGGAAACTTTTCTGCACCCCTGTATGGTTAGTGGAGTTAATCTTTGAAGATAGGGATAATAAGATTAAAAGCTACAGCACCTTTCCTTTTTTTCCTGGCCCTTATAAAAGGCCTCGTCTGTTTTTTTTCTGTATCAGCAGAAGTGAAATGTTTACGTTCAGGTCTGGGTAGAGGGTCCACAGCAGATCTGCACCCCTGACCTGAGTGTGGGGGGCTGGCAGGATGGCTCACAGGGGAATCATCAAACAGACCTCCTTCTCGTAGATGTCAGGGATCACTCCCATCGGGGAGCTGACCATGTGCACGGTGTTCTTGCCAAACAGCTGGAACTCGTAGTGGACGAGCTGCTCCCAGAAGCCGTGGTTGGGCCGGATGATGGGCCTGCATGACCTGGTCCACGCGTGGGCGTCCCGCAGGGACATGGCGTGGTACTTCATGAGGTAGGCGAGGCAGAGTGCAGCAGAGCGGCTCACTCCGGCGGCACAATGCAGCAGTGTGCGGCCCTGCTTCACTTCCACGCTGTGGATGTGGTCAGCAATGGGGTCAAAGAAGTCACAAAGACGTGAGGCGGGGGTGTCGGCCACAGGCACCTGTACGTACTGGATGTCCTCGTATAAGGTATTTACCACTTCGACTGAGACATTGATGACTGTAGTGATCTGGTTGCTGGCGAGCAGGAGCTTGTTGTTGGCAGCTGCCCCATTGCTGATGTACAGGCTGCTGGTGATCTGGGAGAGGCCGCTGACCGAGGGCTGCCGGAACTGAACCGGAAAGGGACACGGGGGTGCTGTCATCGGGCCAGGGGGTCAGTGGCCAGAGAGGCACAAAGGCTACATCTTTCTGTTGGGCTGTGCCATGGCAAACTGCAAGGAGGGAGAGAATGGTTGGAGAGCAGGAGCCCAGCTGGGCCGGAGAGCCAACATCAGGGGATTTCTGGGATATGGATGGTTGGGTGTATAATAGGATCCCCAAGGCGGTCCCCTGACCATCACAGCAGGGCTACCCCGAGAACTGATCTCCAAGTTCGGAAGTCAAGGCCGCCCTTGAGGGGCTCCCCATCTCCAGCTGGGCAGGCTGACTTGTGTCAATCAGACACAAAGGCCCTGGCCTCTCTGTCTAGGTTCACACAGCCCTCTTCTCCCTTTAAGTGGGAGCCCCTTGCACAGTCTTGTTTCTGTTCTGACTTTATGCTCAAATCATAAAACTCTGAAGCAGTGACATGAGGAGTCACTGGTAGTATAAGAGAGAGGAGGGTCTCAGCTTCCCGGCTCCAAGAACCCTCTGAAGAGATAGGATGTCACTTTCCCTGTGAAAGTGACCTCAAATTACAGAGTCCTGTATCATTAACCAAGCTCCTGCACCTTGCCTCTAAGGAGAGTGCCTAGGAAGGAAGGCAACTGACAGCTTCCTGGAGGCCAGCATGAGGGGCACTATAGCAGCTCCCAGAGCAGCAGAGTGGCCTCAGGTAGACAAGCTGTACCAGCATGATGCTGTGTGCTGCAGGGCTGTGGCAATGCACCCCAGGGAGGGGGCACACCCCTGCTTTCTCCTAAGAAATCCCAGGCCCTTCACTCTCCCAGTCTTAAGCAAAGCTGCAAAAATAGCACAGTTTCCCCTACTCCACTGAAACAGGAGTATTCGGACTTAGAGCACAATTCTCAAGGCCAAATGGCAGTCTTCATCAGGCAGAGACAAACAAGGAGCAGAATTCTGTTCCCCTGCTTAATATATTTCAGTGGCTGTCCACGGTCAGGATGAGATGCAGCCCCTTAGTTTTACTGTCAAGGCCATTTGTGGTCTGGCTCCTGCCCATCTCTAGCCTCTTTTCCTCCATCCTAAAGGGCCTTGGCTACGCCGAGCCATTTGCAGTGCCATATGGATACCTGGTCCTCCCTGGCCCAGGGCCTTTGCCTTTGCTGCTCTCTTGGCCCAGAACCCTCTTTCCCTACAAGCCTACCAGACTCTGATCTGTTTCATTCAGCAGAGGACTTGGGATCTTAGCTAAGGGTCACTTTCTAAGGGAAACCTTCTGGATCCACACCCCTCCCCGAGGTTTAATAAGTCCTTGCTCCAGGCTTTCTAAGTCCTATGTGCTCTGCTTCCTACCACTTCCTAAAGACGTAGTTTTGTCTTGATTCGGGATTCACTGGGAATTTGGGATTCTACTAGGATTTGCTGTAACTATCTTTACTCCTACTGTAACACCAGTGCTAAGTTTGGTGCTTGATAAATATGTGTTGAATGAGGAATGACTTCAATAGCCACGACTCTGCCATCTCAGAGATCCTCTGGCGAGGATGAGTTTTCTGGCCTTGTTTGTCTAGAATTTGGGGGAAGAGCTTGGAGGAGGTGAGGGTGGTTCCTTAGCTGCTGGAGAAGAAGGCCAAAGGCTACATAGGAAATCCTACCAGCCAATGCCCCGGAGTCAAATGCATCAGGCTCACCCCAGGAAGGCCAGATGGGGCTGTTTGCCTAAAGTCATGTGGGGGCAGAGAAAAGCTCCCCCAAACTCAGTTGAAAGCCTAAATACTAAGGGATGTCCCATCACCCAAAATAATGGATCCTTGTCACCCAAAAAACCCAGAGAAGAGCGGACCGAGGGTCTCCAAAAATAGTGCCCAGTGGACAACAGGAATAGAGGAAACTGCTATTCAGCACAGTGACAAGTGTGCAGAGACACTTCTCTTGAAGGTGAGGGTAGTGATGCAAGAAGAGACTTTTTCATGATAGTCAAGTGATATTTATCAGGCTCTTTTTAGGTGCTGGGGATACTGAAATGTACAAGACAGTCACAGCCCCTTCTCTCACAGAGCTCAAAGTCTAGTGGGAGAGACAGACATTAAATGGCAATTATAGGCACAACAGAGCTGGAAAATAGGGTTAACAGTGCCTGTCTCATAAGGATCGTCTGAGGATGGAAAGAAGTAACCCGAGGTAAAGTGTGTGACACAGGACCTGACACAGAATAAGCCCTCATAAACAACTAACTATTCTTACTGGTGTTAGGGACATTGAAATGTAGGGCTTTATGGGAGTGAAGAATAAAGGGATTTATTTCAGGCTCCAGGCGAGGGAGTTGCAAGGATTGCCTCAAGAAATGAAACAAAGATCTGAAGAACATTTAGTGTGAGGGGGAAGATGGTGGTGATTAGTTTCACCATTTTATAGCTTACAAAGCCTTTGGCTTCCTTCATCTGGTTCGATCTTCAAGCCGACATAATAGGTGTCTATGGTTAATATCTCCATTTTACACATGGGAAAGTGAGGTAGAGAGGAGACAAGGAGCTGTCTAGGGTCACAAAGCAAGGTCCGAAAGCTGGTCTTTCTGGTCTCACTACGTGTAGGAAAAGTCGGCAAAGACCGCAGGGCGTTCATTAATCCCAGGTTATAAGCGTGGAACGAAGTCCACGGCTTGACAAGAGCAAAGAGCCACTCCCACGGGTGAGCCTGCCGGGTTTCCTGGGGAGTTGACGCAGGAATGGGCTCCCTCGCCTGCTAGATGTCAAGACCACCCCCACAGTCTTACCTCTCTCCCCTGGGCGGGAGGGCAAGTTCGTTCAGAAATCAATCGCGCCCGAAGCCTCGGGTGAGGGTCTCGGGGAGACAGAAGATCGGTCACCATCTGGGAGCCACAATCCCCCGCTGCCCCGCGCTCTGGTTTCCATAGCAATGGTCCCTCCTCGCGGGGAGGAATCCGCTGTGCCGGGTCTTCTGGAAACCCCGGTCTCGTCTCGGTTCCCTGGAGCTGCTCCGCCCGGTCTTAACCCCGTTACCCGCCCCACGATCACGCGGGGGCCACACGAGTCCTGGCGGAGAGGTAGAGTCAGCTCAGCGCACGGCAGCCGGCTCCACCAAGGCCAGCCCGTCTCCACCGCAACGCGCCGGGCTGCACCACGGCGGCCGCCGAGGGACAATCCTGCTGCGTCCTCAGCCTCCTAAACTCCGCGCATACGTCCCGCCCCAAGGTCCCACCTTCCGTCACGCGTCTCTCCGGCAACGCGTCTTGTTCTGCGCGTCGCGTGGGCCCAGGGATTCACTCCGCGTCCGCGCCCTCGCCCTCCGAGCTTGGCTCAGGCTCTGGCTCGCTTGGCCGAGTCGTTGTCTAGCATGGTAGACTCGGTTGCCCAGCAGTCCAGGCCCTCGGTCACATGGAACCTGGGCTCGCCATCAGTTTTATCGGCCTCCCAGGCGACCACCAGTTCCGGCACCACCCCGACCTGGGCCCCCCGGCACGTTAGATTCATCAGCCAACCCGAAATCCACGTAGCGACCCAGCCGCAGATCTGCTTCCTGCGGCCGCGGACCGCGCAGCAGCCGGTGCTCTTCAGGTTCCGCCTGGGTGCCCAGGGCTTTACCAGACCCCCGTTCCTCCAGCGGCCCTTGGGACCTCGGCCTTGGTTCCCCCAGTGCCCCGAGCACTTCAGAGCCGGGTACTCTCTTAAACCCCAAGCGAGCCAGGTTCCTTCCTAGTCCAGCTCCTCGCACCCTCAGGAGCCTGGGAACCCAAACGCCCTCAGCTCCGACTCCCGGGAGAAGCTGGAATTCCCATCTCGTACCTGCGTATCTTCAGAATCTTCCCGGAACTTCAGTCTCTCCCAGGATGGACGTCGCATAGCCCGGGGGTCCCCAGTGCCCTTTGGGCCAGCCTTGAACTTCCTTAGATCCTAGCGAGGCCCAGGTCCCCTCAGGTCTGACATCTCTCTCCTCAACTTCTGTGTTACCCAGCAGTCCTGGGACAGATCCCCTCAGCTCAGCCCGAGTCCTCAAAGACCCGCAAATTCCCCTCCCTCCCTTCCATTCCACAACGCTGGCAGCATCCTCTAGGTTCCCATAGAGGCCTTGCGTTGAAAAACAATTTGGTTCAAAATGACCGTTTATTACTTGAAAGGGGGTATTTACAGTCACTGTCCCCCCTTTTAAACTTTTCCAGAAGTATTGGTAAATTTGGTGCATCGCTGAGTAGGTGAAGAGGATTTTATGTGTCTTTAAATATTTTACGTTTCTTTCTTTTTTTTTAAACAGGGTATGGGAGACGTTTTTATGTGAGCATCTCCTTTTTTGTGTGTCAGCCTTTTTATTTTCATGCCTTTGTTGTCAGAAAAATGTAAATGGGAGACCGAGGATATTTGTTTATACTACTCTATAAATGTAAAAATATTCATAAAACCATAGTTCCATTGGCTGAAAATGAATTAGAAAAAGATTTCTTTAAATCCTTCAAAATGTTTTAAACTTTAAAAATTGTCTATTTTGTCCTGTCAAAGTAGTACACACTTATTATAGGAAAACCAGACAGGACAAGCAAGCAAAATGAATGGCCACAGACAAACACTGTTAACATTTTGGTGTATATTCTTCCAGGTCCATTCATATATATGTACTACAACATGGTGATACATCTCTTGGGGGAAAAATCTGTCACAAGAAATTTCACTGTTGTGTTACCTACTCCCCTTCCCCTCCCCCTTCTGCCCCCAACACATGGATATCTGTTCTATTCATGACTGCACAGTATTTTATTGTATGGCCTAATTATAATTTATTCCATTGCTTCCCTATTGTACATTTAATTTACAAATATTAGGAAGAGAATATGAACAATTATTTTGAAATGGGCAAAAAATTTAAAGGTACATATTTGCAGAACCGCTTCATGGTATAACTAAATTATCAAAAAGCAAAAACCTGGCATTATCCATTCTTTTTTTTTTTTTTTTAAGATTTTATTTATTTATTTGACAGACAGAAATCACAAGTAGGCAGAGAGGCAGGCAGAGAGAGAGAGGAGGAAGCAGGCTCCCTGCCGAGCAGAGAGCCCGATGCGGGGCTCGATCCCAGGACTCCGGGATCACGACCCAAGCCGAAGGCAGAGGCTTTAACCCACTGAGCCACCCAGGCGCCCCTGGCATTATTCATTCTTGACCAATTCTTCATTTTGGCCAAATTTTTACCTCTGGTTTCACCTAGGGCACCTGGCTCCAGTCCATACCTCACCCAACCCCTCCCATCCCATCTTAGGAAGTCTCCTCAAACCTCTTTCCACCACAAACTTCCCTCACTTTTCTAGACTTCTTCCAAACCCTCTTCCCTTAGAATTCCTTCTTCTCTTAGGATTCCCCTATTAACCAGCCTAACCTCCCAGCCCCCTTTTGCCCTGCTTCCTCTGATCCCTCCCCCTGCCAAGTGCCAAGCACGTGCTCCCCACTTAACCCCCATCAAATTCGTCCCTTGGCACCCTACCATACAGCTTTTGCTCTTCTTTGAGACCCCCACCTCCCATTTCATCATATTTTTCTTCTTAAGCTGTCTGCTTCTGAGGACAGTTCTTTTTTGTGGACTGCTGTGGGCCTTTCAGGATGACTTTTCCTCTCAGCATCCAGAAAATACCCGTTTAGTGCATATTTTCTGCAAGAAGCAGCCTAGGCCTACTCCCTGCTCCTCTGACAATTATGACAACTGTGCTTCTCCTAAGAATCCTGGGGAAGCCTCAGTCACTCCCCTCGGACCCCATCAAATCAGTCCCTGTCCTAGCCTGGGCCCCAGCCATCTCACCCTGTGCCACTTTCCCCTCCCACTTCCAGCCTAATGAATTCTAGTGAAGCAGCGGTGAAAAAGTTTTTACCCAAGAGTAACTTATCTCGGGTGATTATTCGTGACAACCTCAGTGCACAACGAATCTATGAGATGGAGGTAAGGTCATCAAAGGTTTTGCATTAGAAGGTGTTAGTGGCTTGACCTATGTTCACTTTACTCTCCCCAGTAGCCTGGGCAGGGGTGGTGGGGAATCACAGAATTTAGAGGCGATAGGGAGCTATCAAGGTTCTCTAAAGCAAGTCCCATTTTACAGAGGAGGCAACTAAGATTTGAGGTTACTGCTCTGCCCCAGGTGTCACAGATACTCCTGGGCTGAGGGAGCCAGGAAGAAGGATTCCATCTTTCTTGGTGCTTGTGGCATTCCCCACCCCCCAACCCTGCTCCAATCGTGTTATTTCTTTAGGGGGTCCATGAATGGATTCCTACTATCTCCTGTAGAAAGGGATCTTGGGTCTTGGAGTTTGAAGTGGCATCAACACTCTCTGGTCTGTTTTTTCCTTCAGGGATTCCCCCCCATTACCTGGAGGAGCACTGAGGCCTTTCCCCCTTTCTGCTTATGGATAAGTAGGATTGGACCTAAAAGCCTGTAGAAGAAGGGATGGGAAAACAGTGTTGTCAGCATACAGACTCAGTTTAATTCATTAAATGCATCCTTAGAGGCTGCTTAGGGTAGGCACCATGTTGGGCACTAGGAAGAGGCGATGGATTGTGAGAATGTACTCATTTCTTCAAGTGGAGCAGGAAGCCCAGATTTGAGTTGCTGCCCCCTCCCTTTTTTCCCCAAAGATTTTATTTATTTATTTGACAGACAGAGATCACAAGTAGGCAGAGAGGCAGGCAGAGAGAGAGAAGGAAGCAGGCTCCCTGCTGAGCAGAGAGCCCGATGTGGTGCTCGATCCCAGGACTCTGGGATCACGACCTGAGCCAAAGGCAGAGGCTTTAACCCACTGAGCCACCCAGGCGCCCCTGCTGCTCCCTTCTTGACTCTGTTGACCTCCCTCCATGTTCAGGGCCAAATCTTGATGGGACTGTGAGATTCTGACATTAAAATAGTAGAAGAGGCTCAAGAGATGGTGCTAAATCCTCTTAAACGCCAAAGAGACCAAAAGAAGAACAGGGGTCTGGGTGTTCCTTCCTCTGCTTAACTTCAGTGGCATGGTGTTGTGGAAAGAGAATGGACTTGGCAATGGATGAGAGAGCTTTGTGTGACCTCAGGGAATGACATTTCCTCCAGGACTCCCTTTTCTCGTTTGTAAAATAGGATCTATTAGGATCCTCTCAGTTGTAGGTGACTCAAACTGAACACGAACTAGTACAAGCAGAATAGAGAACAACGTGTTTACATCATCAGGATGGATAGGGCAAGGTCACCAATAGAGGAGCCAGGGACTCCAGTACCATTGGAGGTGTCTTCCACTTTCCCTTTGCATCTTTTTTCTGTGTCTTTGTGCATGTTGGCATCATCATCAGGCTGGCTGTCCCCGGTGAGCATGGCCACAGGAAACCCTGGCCTGTAGCCTAGAAAGGAAATGGAGTGCTTCCACTCTTGGCCCACACTGGACAGATCCTGGAGAAACTCCAGTTGGCTCAGGGTGTGTCACTGGCCCATCCTTGCCCCAGTCAGTGTGGCCAGGTGGTGTGGGCTCTTCTGATTGGCCCAGGAGGGATTAGCCAGTTTCTATCACCAGCAGGGGAGGGGATGTTCTATCCCTGGCAAGTGGGGTGAGGATCTGTGAGATGCTATAACTGGAGACTCTCTTGAGGTGCTTTATATGAACCAGAGGGCTGTGCCCCCCCTCCAGGCATCCAGAAGTTCTCCTTTTTTTTTTTTTTTGAAAGATTTATTTATTTATTTGACAGAGAGATTACAAGTAGGCAGAGAAGCAGGCAGAGAGAGAGGGGAAAGCAGGCTCCCCGCTGAGCAGAGAGCCCAACGAGGGGCTCGATCCCACGACCCTGAGATCACGACCCAAGCTGAAGGCAGAGGCTTAACACATTGAACCACCCAGCCGCCCCCAGAAGTTCTCCTTTTAAAGCTATATTGAGCCCTCATGTGTTTTAGGTATTTAACATCCATATGTACTATGTATTATGTATTATTATTATTATTATTTTTAAAAGATTTTATTTATTTATTTGACAGACAGAGATCACAAGTAGGCAGAGAGGCAGGCAGAGAGAGAGAGAGGAGGAAGCGGGCTCTCTGCAGAGCAGAGAGCCCGATGTGGGACTCGATCCCAGGACCCTGAGATCACGACCTGAGGAGAAGGCAGAGGCTTAACCCACTGAGCCACCCAGGTGCCCAATGTATTATGTATTATTAATAGTTCAGGAAATTGAGGCTCTGAGAGATGGAGTAACTTCACTAAGGTCACACAATGCATCACTGTAGATTTGCAAACCTGGGTCTGACTGACATCTTCCCTGAAGAGTAAAGACTGTCTTCTCCTTGTTTGTAGACCTGGTGACTTGCTAAGGGCCCAGCCTGTAGGAGCTCAGTGGGTGGGACGCCCAAGTGGCAGCATGGCGGTGTTTCTGTCTTGCTCCCAAAAGTGCTCACGTGAGGAGAAGAGGCAGCTGTAGCTAGCCACTGGTTTCTCAGGACCTTGACAAGAACCCCTAAGACCCTGTGTCTTGGGAATCATCTGAGCACACTCTGAGAACACACCCACCCTCCCCCTTCACTCCTTGTTCCCAAGATCCACTTAGGTTCTTGGCTCAGGCTTTGTTCCCTTTCTCAGATAATCATGGCAACCCTGACTGACCTTCACGGAGCTCTCCTTTGTTTACATGGTGCTGGGTTTTGAGAATCCGCAGGAGAGTTTGCGAAAATGTCAGCTCCCAGGATCACCTCCCACCTGGTTCTGTTTTCACATGCGCATCCTTCGAAACCCAATCCCAATTTATAAGTCAACCCTCCACGAGGCTTTTTTCCATATCTCCCTTCTTGGAGCTCTGTACTTCCTGTAGGGATGTGTCACTCTCTGCCTCACTTAGAAGTGTTTGGGCACGTGCCCGACCTTCCTATGTTGTAGTTGCTCTGAAGACCCGCGGCTGATTTTTTTAGTGTCCATTTCACAGCTAGCTGTTTGGAATAAGCAAATGAGTGAGCAAGATGAAGGATGTGCCTTCCTAGCGCTTACAGTCTTGGAGACAGGACAGAAATGATATGCTAGACAAAATAAATGAGGTCCGTGTGATGTAGGGAATGTCAGAGACAATGTGTGGGAAGCACTAAGTGAGTCCTAGGGACATGGTGATAGGATCTAATGATCCTTCCCCACCCCCTCAGCTCTTTCTGACCAGTTTTCCAATAGAGATGTTGAGGTCCAACGCAGGCTCCTGGGCTGCAGACTGTCAGAGGTACCATAAGGATTATGCAGTTCCGTGCCCACATTTTACAAAATAGGGAAACTGAGGCTCACTAGGAGTCAATCTATTTAGGGAATATTGAGTCCACCCAGCCCATTTTCCACCGCCCCTCCCCCATCAGCAGCACAGGTGTCTCGCTTTCTGTGAAGTAGCCTCTTCATCCTCACATCAGCTCTGTTTTGTTTTTTGTTTTTGTTTTTGTTTTTTAAGATAAGAGCCTCAGACAAGACCAAGAGAAAGATGAGCCATTTGTATGACCACCTGAAGAAAAAGTTCATGACAGACCAGCTCAGGAAGCTGGGGCGCTGGAGACGAGAATCCATGACCATCCAGCAGTACCTGGATAGCATCCGCCTGTACAAGGTCCACTTCAAACTCCAGCGTAACAAAAAAAGCCAGCCACCCTAATCAAGGTGGAATGATCTGCCCCCCAGGTCATGACGATGAGAGGCTGTGGGCGGTGGTGGCAGAAATCGCCCACCTACACCACCGTAGAACTGCAATAAAATGAGACCAGCGGACCGTGGAGCGCAAAAGCCCTCAGCAAGTGTAATACTCCTTGCCCTGCCCCACCACTCCATCCGTTCTGGTGAAGGCGATGCTGACGGTCCTGTAGCTGCCTGATTGGGAGGAGGCCCAATCGAGCCCAGGCTTCCAAGGTTAAGGCCAAGATCGAGCTTTGGTACCCATGTGTCTGAAGTGAAATGCCAGGCCAACTGTCCTGGGACAGGGTGTAGTACCTTAGATGGGAAGGATTCAGTAGTGCGACTGGCTAGTGGCGAGGGGTCAAGGTGAGGCATTGGACAGACCTAGGTTCAGTGCTCTATCTGCCACCCATCAGCTGTGTGACTTTGTAACCTCTCTGAGCCTCTGGTTCCTTATCTAAAAGAATGGGGTGGTAGTGAGGGAACTTGCCTCCTGGAGCCGGTGTGAGGATGTGGAGTGCTTGGGCCAGGTCCCTTTGTTGCAGATGGCTCTTATCCTGATGGCTCCCGATGGCTTTGGCATTGCCAGTCCCCACTTCCTGGCCTGCCTGCTGTCCCGACTACACCCTGACAGTCCCCACGTTGTCCCTTTACATGCACAGGCCCCTCATCCAGCATACCCCTTCAGCCCCCCAGGGCTCTCAGGAAACTCTTCATTCTTCAAAGTTTATCTCAATGCCATTTTCTGCACAACTTTTTGGATCTCCTTCTGCTTCCTGCCTGCCCTTCCACCAGCCTCCCCTGCCTTTGTCACATGGGTTTCCTCTCCCCTCTGAACTTGGATTTCCCAGGGTGGCTTCGTTCTGCCTTGTGTGGTACCCATTTGGGCATTTGTCCTAGCCCCTAATTAGATGGTACAGTCTTTGAGAGCAGGGACCAAGGATCCTCCAAGATCCAGTCCAGGCCTCTCCCAGGACACTTCCCCCACCAGGCCTCAGTAGAAAAGGGCACTCCTTGCTGTGCCCACACCTCTGTCTGCACCGAGTTTGTGGTTCACCATTTCTTGTTTGCTCAGTGTCTCCCTGACCTTAATGGTGAGGGTGCTGACTTACTCATCTGTAACCACAATGCCTAGTAAATGGAGTTGACACTGAGTGTTTTCTGAAGAAATGACTATTCCCCTTTGTATTATAGCTTTAGCACAGGGCACAGAGCAAGAGCCTAGTTTATATGTTTTTTAAGTGAATCAAGTCCCCTCATTTTACAGATGAGGAAACTGAGGCCCGGAGAGGTGACTTGATTGGCCTAGGGTCCTGCTGCAAGTCAGTGGCAGAGAAGTAGAAGCAAGTTTCCCGACTGCCATGGAGCGGTCATTTTGCATCGCAGCACCTGCTAGGTAAGGACCTCTGTCCTCTGGGCGGCTTTTGGAAGGCTTCCCCAGGAAGTCCTCACTCTACCTGCTCCACATCTTGCCTCTCTCCAGGCTTGCTGCCCAGCAGCAGGCTTTCCCCTAAACGGAATAGCAAGAGCCTGATCTGGTTCATGACGTTTTTCTTTCCCTCCTCTATGGTCTCCGTTTGAGAACTGGAGTGTGCTACTTTTCAGTGGGGGTGAAAATTGTCTTTTTCTAAGCTCTTGTCTGTTTTCTTGGCTGATCACAGCTGATTAGAATAATTGATTTTAAAGATTTACCATTTATCATACAGGCAACGTGACCACATCTGTCAAAAACCTCTTTTGGTAGATCAACCACTGCTAGCACTTTGGTGTTGTTCCTATCTTGGTGTATTTGTGTCCTTTCAATAGGTATTTTTCCTTGACCATCAGCCAGTGTGCCAGGAAAGGGGAAAGGCTGTGGGGATCTTGGAGTCTTCAGAGGGCCCACAGAGCAGTCCCAGCTCCTCTTTCTCTAAACTGTCCCTGGGAGATCTGCCTACCTCCAGGATCTCGCTTAATGCAGCTTCCCTGAGCCTGACTCCAGTCTAACCTCCAGCCACATATGTCTTCCCTGGTGGCTGGCCTTGGCGGCGGGTCTTGGCGTCCTCATACTGTGGCCCAAAGGAATGGGGGATCCCCTGGGAGTGAGATGTTAACCTAATGGGGAGTCACTTTTATAAGTCACCAACTCACCTCTGATTGTGCGGACTCTGTCTTCCCATTTTTGCATTAAAAACTCTGGGATGTTGCATTTAAGCAGGGGACAAGCAGCGATGGAATTCTGGATAGGCCGCCCAATTTGTTGGGGAGGAATAAGAAGACTAAAGGGAAGAAAAATCAGCAAGGGAAGAATGGAGGGGTGAGGGATGGGAAGATATTATTCGAGAAATAGAATCTTGAAGCTAAGGAGAGGTTTAGAGAGTCTAGTTCGGTGGCTGCTCTGACACATGTGCGCATGTGCAAAACTCTCAGTTCAGATGAAGTCTCACCCAGAAGCCCATTCCAGTAGTCGAGACTATCACCGTATTAACATTTATTCAGCACTCCTGTGCCAGGCACAAGGCTCAGCTCTTTTCAAACATGATTCTTTGAACCCTCCCAGCAACAAAGTAGGTAATTTTATTAGCCCTAATAGGTAAGAAATTGAGACCCAGAGAGTAAGAATCCCACCTACGGTTGGGCAGCTAGAAAATGGCAAAGGCCACCATATGCCTATCTCGTTCTGGAGACCATCTCCTAACCACCATGTGTTAAGTTCCCCATCTTTATTGCTCTCGTTGGAAGTGGAGGGACTGGGACCTAGAGCCTTCTGGAGCGTGATTTCACGGGTGGTGTTGCAAAGGCCTCTGCTGTAATGTCAGCTGGACAAAACCCCAAGTCTCCTTTCTACCAAGTGGCTTAGAAGACCGTGTCAGTGATCCTGGGATGGAGATAGGCTGTTTAGGGAGGGTTAGGCTGGGTTAGGGAGATCTAGATGAGGGGAATGAAGTAAGGCACAGGAGTCCCTCCTACTGCCCATTAGCTGTGAAAAGATGTTCTCAGTTTCACCCTTGGGAAATCCCATGGAATATCCTTTGTGTCTGAAGAACATGCCAAGGGCAGGGACAGATAAATGATACTCTTTAAAAAAATTTTTTTAAAATTCAATTAATTAACATATAGTATGTTATTTGTTTCAGTGGTAGAGGTCAGTGATTCATCAGTCTTATATAACACACAGTGCTCATTATATCACGAGCCCTCCTTAATGTCTATCACCCAATTACCCCATCCTCCCACCCACCTGCTCTCTGGCAACCTTCAGTTTGTTTCCTATGATTAAGAGTCTCTTTGGTTTGTCTCCCTCTCTGACATCGTCTGGCATTATTTTTTCCTCTCTTTCCCCATGATCCTCTGTTTTGCTTCTTAAATTCCACATATGAGTGAGATCATCTGATAATTGTCGTTCTCTGATTGACTTGCTTCGCTTGTCATAATACCCTCTAGTTCCATCTACATCTTTGCGAATGGCAAGATTTTATTTTGATGGTTGAGTTGTTTCCATTGTGTATATATACCGTATCTCTTTACCCATTAGATGAATGCTACTCCCTTTTAAACAGATCAAGTCTGTTTGAGCACACCTTCAATTCTTGCTGAAAATATATTTCCTCCCCTCCTGCCCTATCACCACTATCCCCTATCACACTTCCCCTGTCACTACTTTAGAGTACTTGGAAAAACTTCCCAGTTTAGAACACTTGCCAGGGACACAGTGGACCGTGTTTTCCTTCCCTCTCCAGAATTTCTCCATGCCCTGGAACAAAAGGAGGGAAGTTCTATTTACTGAGCACCTGTTAGATGCAAGGCACTTCATATCTTACCTCATTCAGTCCTCACGACACTTGTCAGGTAGTGTGCCCGTCCTACAGGTGAGACAACCAAGGCACAGAGAGGCTAAGGAATTTGCTCAGAGTCAGTAGGTTTGAGCCAGGCTGTGAGACGCACAGGGGACTCTCTTTCCATATCATCTGGTCACTCTGGTGATCCACAGCCCCACTGTGAGCACCAAACTCAATTCCAGCCATTTTTGGTGGCAGAAACAGCTCCGTGAGGGAGTCCCGTGTTGTGGACCTGTTCATGGCCCTGGCCCCTGACTCTCCTCCACAGAGGTCAGTGACATGGCAGGAGTCCTGGATGAGGAATCATTCCCCTCATGGCAGGCCAGGGGCAGTGGTTTCAAAACCCTAGCAGGTGAGTGTGGAGCAGGCTGCCAAGGGGCTAGGCAGCTAGAACTCTAGCCATAGCTTGTCAGGGAGCAGGGGAGGCAGCTAGCTTCTCCAGCTGCAGTGAGGAGGAAACACAGAATTCTTACATATCCATCCCATTAGTCTACCCATCCATCCATCCATCCCTCCATCCATCCACTCAACTCTCCATGTGGCCCTTCAGCATACAGTCCGAACACAAAGGAGGAGGAACTAGTTTTCTTGTTGTCGTGATCCTCAGTTTTCCTGATCAGTGTGGGGACATGGGGTGACCTGCTCACTGGGACTGCCTCTGCCTGGATTCACTCTGACCTTGGGCAAGTCACTTCTCCTCTCGGAGAGTTTGTGGGGCTGAAAAAACCTGAGAGCTGCCTGCCTTGTTGTGCAGGTCACCTGGGCAGGTAAGGAATTCATGATGGATTTGGGACTGGATCACAGGACGATGCCACTCATTTGTAAAGTGGGAGTGGGAATCCTGTCTCTCATTGCCTCCTGGGATTGTAGGGAGGAGCCCACTGGATAAAAGCGGTGGGAAAGCTGTCTGAGGCTAGAATGTCCCAGAGGAGCAACCCGAGGCCCTGGCTGCTGGGCCAGGACAGATCCCACAGTGACCACAAGGGGTCAGCAGACACTTGTGTGTTTAGCTACCATCTGCGGGAAGGCACAGGCTTATGCGCTGGGGTCCGGGAGGGTGGCCAAGTCATTTCATTCCTGGGGACCCATAATACAAAGAGGTGGGGACGTAGCCCAGTCCGGCTCCTTGTGGAATCCAGAAGTGTTACTCCGGGTGTTAACAGTACAGAGCCTGGTCCAGCTGCTGACTTTGGAACTCTGCCGGGCTCTGAGAGCTGAGGGGGCAGAGCCAGGAGCTGGCCTGGGACTCCCTACACCTCCAAGTAAACTTCCTTTGGGCTTTAGCTTTCCCACCTGCAACCTGGTGGCTGATATGGGCACT